ATATAAAACAACCTATTTTCCCTTTTGCTAATTGCCAGAAAACTTCAACTTCAGTGCTCAAGTGCATTAATCAGTTATTTCTGAGAAGAGAAAAATTTATCATCTGCAGTAGGTTGAGTGGTGGCCCCCAAAAAGTTATGTCTATGTCCTAACCCCTGGAATCTGTGAATGTGACCTTATTTGAAAAAAGGGTCTTGGCAGATAATTACTAAGTTTATGATCTCAAGAAAAGATCAGCCTGGAATATCCAGGTGGGCCCTAAATCCAGTGACAAGGATCCCTGTAAGAGATAGGAAAGGAGAAGACAGAGAGTAGACAAAAGCTGTGTGAATACAAAGGCTGAGATTTGAGTGATGTGGCTACAAGCCTAGGATTCCTAGAATCTGGAAGAGGCCAGGAAGTACCCTAGAGCTTTCAGATGGAGTGCAGCCCTGCCAACAACTTAATTTGGACTTTTGGCCTCCAGAGCAGTGTGAAAATAAATTTCTGTTGTTTCATGCCACCAAGTTTGTGGTAATCTACTATGGCAACCCTATGAAACTAATACCATCTGAAGAGTTCAAACAAGGGGACACTCTGCCTTCGTTTTAGTTCTCATCAACAAGTTTCCTTTTGGGGCATAACTAGTGCCCCGTTTTGGGGGTAATTTTTGTTTAAAATGGTACCCAAATATAGTGGTGAAGTGCTGTCTAGTGTTCCTAAGTGCAACAAGACTGTTATGTGCCTTACAGAGAAAATAGGTGTGTTAGATAAGCTTCATTCATGCATGAGTGATAGTGCTATTGGCTATAAATACAATGTTAATGATTCAACAATTCAGTACATCCAGAAAAAGGAAGAGAAAATTTGGTCATCTGTACATGAGGTCACTAGGGAAAGTGCTAAAAAGCCACAGCTACAGTGTGGGATGAAGCTAAGAAAAAGCCAGGCATGGTGGCGCATGCCTGTAATCCCAGCTACTCAGGAGGTTGAGGCAGGAGAATCACTTGAACCAGGGAGGCAGAGGTTGCGGTGAGCCAATATTGCGCCATTGCACTCTAGCCTGGGCAACAAGAGTGAAACTCCATCTCAAAAAAAAGAAAAAAAAATTGAGAATTCATGAGATGACAACTAATTAAAGAAAAAAACCAAGAACATGTGACAGCCATCTAAGTTAGTGCTGGCTGTCTCCCATACTGTGGAAAATGTTAAAAGTGTGTGTGTGGAAAATGTTAAAGTTTCAGGCAAGACAGGTTCTAAAGATTAGAAGGCTATGGAATATTTTTTAAACACCTGTGTAGTATTATACAGAAAAGGGTTATGTGGAAGAGCTGCTTTCCTTATTTATTCTTATTTTTTATTTTTAGAGAGACGGGGTCTTGTTATGTTGCCTAGGGTGGTCTCAAACTTCTGGGCTTGTGATCCTCCTGCCCTGTCCTCCCAATGTGCTGGAATTACAGGTGTAAGCCACCTACCTGCTCAGCCAAGGAAGAGCTGCTTTCAAACCCTGATGGGACTGGTTTATTTCACAAGCATGTTGGCGAACAAATGTTTACAATGCAAATGATATATGGATTGATGAAAATATTATGAGTACAGGCTCACAGGAATTTAACCCCCCATTAACTCTAGGAACAGCAGTTCAGTACTCATTAATTCAGTGTTTGTGGTAACATTATAGGACCCAACCAACGGCAAGTAATGTGAACTGACTATATATAGTCGTTCCTCGGTATCTGTTGGGGACTGGTTCCAGGACACCTCAGCATGCACAAGTCCCTTATATAAAATAACATGGTATTTACATATAACTACACACATCCTCCTATATACTTTTAAATCATGTCAAGGTTACTGATCATACCTAATTTAATGAAAATGCTATGTAAATAGTTGCTATACTATATTTTTAAAATGTTCTATTATTTTAGAAATCAGCTACCAGTGGAGCTCAACCTAAAATATTTTAATGAACTCTGCAACCACCAAGTAAGACTTGTTCTAAAGTCTTGTTTTTGTGCAGGTTAAACAGAGTCAAGAAAATGTGAAACCCTTCTCAGCTAGTGCTGGTTAGCTCGCATACAGGTAGTGTGAAAAATGTTAAATTTTTAGGCAAGGCAGGTTGTGAAGATCAGGATCAAGATAACTATTTATTTATTTAATTATTATTATTTCTGACTACTGACAATACGCGGTTGAATCCATGGATGTGGAACCTGTGGACGGGAAGAGCCAATTTCTGAGGGTAACAAATGGGAAAATGATTTCGTTTGAGTCTAAGAGGTTGGCAGCCTTCTATTTCTCTTCTGCTGAGTGTATCCAAAGAAGTGAATGCTTAGCAAAGGCTTGGAATATCCAAGTTTCAAAAATGTTGGAGGTATGAGAGAAGGGTAATCTCAAGATGAATCACTGGAGAAAGGAACCTACAGGTGAGGTCACAGCAGGCCTTCCAGACAACGATGCCAACTATTACCACTTCTTTTTATCATGGTAGTAGAGGTCATACTAATGTAATAAGGGGGAAAAAAAGTATAAAAATTTGAAAGGAAGAAATACAACTGTCATTATTTGCAAATGGTATATGTAAAGACCAAAAATATCTATATGTTGTTAGAATGCTGGCTACAAAGTCAATATACAAAAATCAATGCTAAGTCTCTGTAAACAGAAAGTAAATTTTAAAAAATGACACTACTAAGAATTACATGGAAGCAATGTCAAATGTCTAGAGATAAATCTAATACAGATCATTAAGACCAACACAGAAAACCATAAAATATTATTGGGAAAAATTAAGACCCTAAAGAAATGGAATGCTATACCATGTTCATGAATTAGAAAATTCATGCAAGAATGTTGATTCTCCCCATTAATCTATAGATTCAATACACTCTCAATCAAAATCCCAATAATTTTTTAGAAGGGAGTGGGTCAAATTTGACAGCTGATTCTAAAATTTATATGTAAATGCAAAGAACCAGGAACAGCCAAGACACTTATGAAGCAGGAGAAGAAGGTGGTGTTAAGAACTAAGCTGATGAAGAAAGAACTGAGCTGTCAGGTGTTGTGGTGGTCAGTTAAAACATGCCAAAACGATAAGGTATCAGTCAAGCCTTCGATCAGCAGTAGCATTAGCAAGAGGCTCAGCAGGAAAAAGTGCTGGCTCCTGCAGTGTTACATTCTTACCCATGGAACAGAGTCAAGCAAGTGTCAAAAGAATCAGCCAAGTATGGGGATCATCTCACTACTAAGACAAACCTGAATAAAAGGCTCCATCCATTTTATGGGCCTAAGGGCTGGTAGGAGAAAGAGTGAAAATTGCTAGGAGTGGAAAAGTACTAAATATTGAAAGTGAAGACAAGTGGCATCAAGGTTCCTGATCCCAGTAAAAAGGTCTCAGAATTGTTTAGAGGAGGCCACCAATAAACAGACCTCCAAATAGAAGTGCTTGGTATGCAGATATGCCTAACAGCATGGCTGGGCTGGGGGTCTGGGTCCTTGACTGCAACTTTCTTCAGAGACTGCAATGCATTGGCTGTGCCCCAAGTCTGGCGCGCAGCTTTCCTTCATGAGGTGTACGGACTTTGTAACTGCCTACGGTTGGGCCTGAAAAATGACACATAAAATTTGGCACAGAGTCTGACTCTTCAAGTAGGATGATTTGCTCCACCGGATACCAGAACAATGTAAAGCTACAATAATTACGAAAATCTCATATTGATGCAGGGAGAGCCAAATAAAGCAATGGAACGTAACAGAGAAACTAGAAACAGATCCATGCATTTTTGGAAAATTAATTAATGACAAATTGGCACTGTAGAACAGTGGGAAATAACAGGCATTCCCATAAGTGATGAAGGATGAAAAGAATATCCATATGGGAAGAGAATGACATTAGACTTTACCTCACTCAGGCAGAAAAATAAATTTCAAATGGATTACAGATACAAATGAGAAAGCAAATTAGAAAACTTTTTAGAATGGTCGAGATTATCTTCTTGATCTTAAGGGAGAGAAAGAATTATTCAAAAGACACACACGAAAGAAAAAGACTGATAAATTTGACTATATTAAAATTAAAAACTTATATTCATCAAAAGACACCATTAAGAGAATAAAAGGTAAGCTATAAAGATGGAGATAATATTTGCATCCTCTATGAAAAGAGCTCATATCCAGAATATGTAAATAATTCCTATAAACATGTAAAAAAATTGAACAGAACTTTCCAAAAGAATACCAGACAGTAGTAAGTAAGCAAGGAAGCTAACCTACTCTTAGTCCAAGAGATGTCACCTCATCTTTCAAGGTTACTAGCTGCATGACAATAAAAAGTGGCCTGAGTAAGAGCTGCTATGCCCTTGCAATGTTGGCACACCCAACAAGACATGTAGGAGTGCAAGGCCCAAGGAGGATGGTCTCTCCCAAAAATGGTACACTGAGTTATAACATAAAATGGGTTTTTTACTGCACAAAATGTTTGAAGAAACACTGGTCTAAAGAACATGCTTCACACTTCTTAGCAGAACAAAGAATGTCATGGTCTGGTCATAATATACTACTTTCATATGCATATTCTATGATTCTCGAAATATAATCAAGGTCCATGAAAACTTCCTTCTTTACCCCCAGATGCATTGTGCTTTTTCACATGCTATTCTCACTGTACCTTCCCTCATTCCTCTTTATCATATGGCTCAAGAACTCATTTTTTTTCCTCCAAACTTTCGTCCTCCTCCAAAGCCTTTCCAATTGTTTTCATGAGTCATTGTTAAACCTTCTTCAGTGCAAAGTACTCTACAAATCCAGTGGCTTTATCACAGTATTCGTTGTTTTCTATCTACTCTCTTCTCCCTGTCACCAAATAGCCTGCGAGTCCCCTGAGATTAGGGTGCTTTTTTCACTTATTTTTGTATTCCTAGCACCTGGCACAAGACCCAACCTAAAACAAATAATCACTAGTACCTTACTTTGAGCTCAAAAGGAATAACCACAGTACACATATCCTGACTGCTTAATGGTTAAATTCTTCAACAAAATAAATTTATTTTCAGAAATAGCTCCTCCTTCAAAGTCTTCAGAATACCACTCACTGCTTAGTATTTATAGTTTGTGCTGGTTTGGAGTGGGATATGGCATCACATTCAGTGCTGATTCCAAAAGGGTGTCCTCCACCCAGATGACTGTCTGTAAACCTCCATTCTAGAAACAAACCAAGATAGCTGGGGTTAGAAAGGTAAACATTAAAAACATTGAAGATAACAGCACAGAAATGGGGTGACAGGTCAAACAAAGGAAAACCTAGTCTCCTTCAATTGCCAAAGACAGGAAGAAGCAGGGCAAAAGAATTCACACATGAAGTCAGCAATGCAAAGAGAACTTCTTGAAGCCCTTCACTTCTGCTATAAGTACAGTATGTGTGTGTTTTTTTTAATTTTTAATTAATTTATTATTATACTTTAAGTTGTAGGGTACATGTGCATAACGTGCAGGTTTGTTACATATGTATACTTGTGCCATGTTGGTGTGCTGCACCCATCAACTCGTCATTTACATCAGGTATAACTCCCAATGCAATCCCTCCCCCGTCCCCCCTCCCCATGATAGGCCCCGGTGTGTGATGTTCCCCTTCCTGAGTCCAAGTGATTTCATTGTTCAGTTCCCACCTATGAGTGAGAACATGCGGTGTTTGGTTTTCTGTTCTTGTGATAGTTTGCTAAGAATGATGGTTTCCAGCTGCATCCATGTCCCTACAAAGGACACAAACTCATCCTTTTTTATGGCTGCATAGTATTCCATGGTGTATATGTGCCACATTTTCTTAATCCAATCTGTCACTGATGGACATTTGGGTTGATTCCAAGTCTTTGCTATTGTGAATAGTGCTGCAATAAACATACGTGTGCATGTGTCTTTATAGCAGCATAATTTATAATCCTTTGGGTATATACCCAGTAATGGGATGGCTAGGTCATATGGTACATCTAGTTCTAGATCCTTGAGGAATCGCCATACTGTTTTCCATAATGGTTGAACTAGTTTACAATCCCACCAACAGTGTAAAAGTGTTCCTATTTCTCCACATCCTCTCCAGCACCTGTTGTTTCCTGACTTTTTAATGATTGCCATTCTAACTGGTGTGAGATGGTATCTCATTGTGGTTTTGATTTGCATTTCTCTGATGGCCAGTACAGTATGTGTTTTAACTTCTCTAATGTGCCCAATTCCCTGAGTAAGGTCCATTTCCTCAATGTGAGCTCCAGAACCATGATCTTCTTTGCCTTCAATCCCCATATCCAGGCCTTGGGCAGGGCTGTAGGCACTACTCCAATACCAGAGGCTTCATCATGTGCTTTTCCACATGCATCTCTGACCTTAGTGCCTTCTGGTCACAAGTTGGCTCAGAGCTTCATGAGGTCCAGTGTGTTTTACAGCTGACTTGCCTGAAGTGCTGATTAGGATAATTCATGGAAACTGTGCATCCCTTTGCAACACAGAGCCTCTTTTTGAGAAGTGAACAACATTTCACCTTCCCAGAGAGCGTTCTCTATAATCTCTTCCAAATGTGAACCACCAAAGCTATCTGTAATTTCTATCAATTTGGCATATTCATCTTGAACCTCACATTAATTAAATTTCAGGAATAAAAAATTTCAGGACTATTACTCACGAGGGAGAAATCACTGTTAAAATAGAAAAACAGCCTAACCCGGTGGCTTATGCCTGTAATTCCAGCACTTAGGTAGGATAAGGCGGGAGGATCGCTTGAGCAGGGGAAGTGGAGACCAGCCTGGGTAACATAGTAAGACTTTGTCTCTCCAAAAAATAAGAAATTAGCAGGCATGGTGGTGCAAACCTGTAGAACCAGCTATTTGGGAGGCTGAGATGGGAGGATCACTTGAGCCCAGGAAGCTGAAGCGGCAGTGAGGTGGGATCACACTACTGTACTCCAGCCTGGATGATACAGCAAGATCCTGCTTCAAAAGGAAAAAAAAAAAAAAAAAAAAAAGGAAAGAAAAATAGTAACAAAGTAATTTTAAAGTCCAGATTTCTCTCCTGAGTTTCACATGTGCAAATACAGGCTTTGGAGATTAGGGTTAGGAAGTGAGATCATGGTCTGGTGGACAGCTCTAGTGGGATTCCCATAGACAAAGCAAAAACATTTTCAAAATCAAACTCACCTCTCAAATCTGAGTATTCTTGGTTGACATTAGGTATCAAGCTTCACAAAGTCATCCTAAAACCAACACCAACCTCGAAAATTCCCCAAATGTCCCATTATTATACCTCTGAGCCTTTGCATATATGACACCACACACAGCAGTGAGCTATGATCAGCTATGAGCAAGGGTCAGAAGTCAGAAATACTTAAATCTCCTCGGGAAGTTTTTGTCTTTGTTTTGTTTGCGTTGGTTGAGGAACCTCAGTCAAACTCAAAAGCTTATTGAGTCAGTAAGTCAAAAAAGGTTTAAGGCTTTTTGACTATGCAAGAATCTCCCTGAAAAATTATCTGTTGGGTTTCCTACCTAAAAAGATGCTCTACCTTCTGCCAAGAAGTCACAAACACATCTAATCATCCTAAGAGCACAGTGGTACATCAAAGGCAAAGAAAGATAAATGGGTTGGTATTTTCCAGATTCAACTAAGGATATGTCCTTCCTCTCTCACCAATTGCTTCCAATGTCAAAATCTAATGTTTTATCTATAACACCAACAGCAACAAAACAACAACAAAAGGCTTGCTCATAAGAGGAAAATGTTTGAATTGCTAGTTTGCTCTAAGCCAACATAAACTACATTATATACTATATGGTTTTTAAATGGCTTTACCTTATGAGTTGCAAAATTACATTCTCAGAAGTAGATGTGATTTTAGAGCCTTAGAAACAATGCTGATGGAGTTACTTTTCAGTGATTTCTCACTTCAGTATTTCAAGGATGAAGTGTCAATTAAGGGATTAAGTTTAACCATACTCTTCTTTCGATGGTATCTTCTGATGTAACAAAAGCCCTTTGGAATATATTTGCCACATAAATCACTGATGACACTTTTCTTTGGCATGTATTTTCTGGTGTTTAGTAAGATTAGAACTCCCACGGAAAGCTTTCCCACACTCTTCACACTCATATGGTTTCTCTCCAGTATGGATTCTCTGGTGATGAATAAGGGTTGAGATCTGGCTGAACGCTTTTCCACACTCTCCACACTCATAGGGCTTTTCTCCAGAGTGAATCCTCTGGTGATTAATAAGTGCTGAGTTCACATAGAAGGCCTTCCCACATTCCTTACACTCATACGGCTTTTCTCCTGTATGGATTCTCTGATGCTTGATGAGGGCTGAGCTCACACTGAAAGCTTTTCCACACTCATCACACTCATAAGGTTTCTCACCAGTATGGATTCTCTGGTGTTTGATAAGGTCTGAGCTCACACTAAATGCTTTGCCACACTCATTACATTCATAGGGTTTCTCTCCATTGTGGATTCTCTGATGTATAATCAGGTGTGCCCTTACACTGAAGGCTTTCTTACACTCATTACAAGTATAAGGCTTCTCACCAGTGTGGATTCTTTCATGCACAGTAAGGGTTGAGCGCACGCTAAAGGCTTTTCCACAGTGATCACACTCATAGGGTTTCTCTCCAGTGTGGATTCTCTGATGTCGAACAAGGCCTGAGCTCTGGGCAAACTTCTTTCCACAATCATTGCATTTATACCGTCTTTCTTCCATGCGCCTACCCTCATGCCTTTCTAACTGGTCCTCATACTGAGAGATTTTTTCATACTCAGGAGTCTGTAAAGTATCCCCATTATATATGCTAGGGACCTTCTGGTGTGGGTCCATCCTTAGAAAAACCTTCCCTTCAGCCCTTCAGAGTTGACACCTTGTTCACACCTCTGGCCTTGAATCCTAAAATAATAAACAGACCTTTGAAATGTGTTTTATTCCTGTTGCTAAAGCAATATAATATGATATAGACTAGAGCTCTCAAACACGTTCAGTAATCCCAGGACACGCCAATCACATGGCACTCACATAAAATGTTTTCATTCAGCCTGTATCATGTCTCAGTAACATCAAAGAACTGCTGGAATGAATATCTGACTCAAACGGCTATTTAAATATATCTTCATGGCACACGCCTATCATCTCAGCTACTTGGGAGGCAAAGGCAGAAGGATCACTTGAGTCTGGGAGATTGAGGCTGCACTGTGCTGTGATCACACCACTACACTCCAATCTGGGCAACAGAGCAAGACCCTGTCTCAAAAAATATATATGAATAAATAAAATATCCTCTATAAAGGCATCTAAAACATACACATACAATCTGGAATATAAATAAATATAAAAATAATATATAGTTCCTACTTTTAAAGGCGAATCATATTTAATTAAATTGGAAAACAAGACAGAAACTCAAGAGATTTGCAGATAGAGCAGATGAAGGAGTATGGGAATAGAAATGGCAATAGAAACAAATTCAACTGATAAGAAGTTTGGAAAAATGACAATAACACCATTAACAGGTATGTTTTACCACCCACAGGAGTCCATACTACTTGAGATGGAAGAGAGACATGGGGACGAAAAAAGCTCTGTTCATTGCTATGCCACTACTAATTCTGCAGCTGTTGTTGCTATGATAAACAGTATCTCAGCAACAGGGATGCTTTGTCTCTGCTGGCATTGTGACAGAATAAACCCTTCACCTCTCCAAAGAAAATGGATGGCTGCTACTTTCTTGGGAACAAACCTAGTTTTGTGTCCAAACTTGATAAAATTCTTGCTTCCAACTCAAATTACACTAATTACCTCTCTGCTTTTTTCCACCTTACAAACTGTTTTATGTCTCGACAGTTATAAGTTAACAGTATGCACCCTTGATATGATGAGAATGGCACTTCAACTTTGTGGCCTTCCTCCCCAGAATGTATAACCTCAGTATAATAATGACAAAAACAGTTAAATCCCAATTGAATGATATTCTACAAAACAAACAAACAACAACATTACCAACAAAAACTAACACAAAGCAGAACTGAGGATCCAGACCAACAGAAAATAAGGTCTCCATACCTGCACCCCACTCTCGCAAATTTAGCCCTGTCAGAAAAGCAAGTCGGAGTCACTCCTCTAATTAGGAGTTTTAAGAGCCTCAGAGACAGCCAAGGACAGGACTCAAGACATCAGCCTGCCCCAGCCATCCTCTCTCCCAGGGTTTCTGAGGGTCTACTCTGCCAGTGCAGAAGGGCCAGGCAGGAGATGGGGTAGTGAAGGGAAAGAAATATAAGAGGGAGGATGATGGAGAGGGAGGAAAAGGGAGGAAAGAGAAAAGAGGAGGAGTGTGAGAAAGTGGGTGGAAGAGGGGAGAGGTGGGGAAGGATGGAGGGAAAAGGCAGGCCTGAGGCGACCTGGCACAGTACATAGTTTCTCCCATCCTCCGAGGGTGTCCACCCCAGGGCATAAGCAAAACCCTAGAAGAAAGTCAAGAAGGAACTCACCTGAAAAACTGCGATTAGACTATCTGACCAAGCGACTGAGGAGAGCTGTTGGCCTAGAAAGCTTGACTTTCACTTCCACAGATTGCGTGCCTGGGCATCTGGTCATCTACTCTAGGATCCTGGAGGCTTCCCTCTCAGTGGTTTGTGAGCTGGCCAGAATGGACCGTGTGAAGAAAGGATCGCTTACTCCAAGAAGGCATTTTATGCTTTTTATCTCATTTAATCCTACAGGGCAGACATTCAAGTCCTTCTCGCATATATATAAAAACTGAGAAGCAAATAAATTTTCCGAGGTCAGGCACCTGTTAAAACAGCCAAGATGAAATTTCAATCTAGGGCTTGCTTCTCAGATTAAGCCACTTTATGGCTCCTCAGGGGTTAGTATTCAGAGAGTAATCTCCAAATTAATTTGTAAATTCAACACTATTTCCATGAAAATATCAACTTTTTAGAAGATTTTAATGTTCACCTAGAAGACTAAACATGCAGGACTACCTGGGGAAACTGAGAAAGAAGGGTACTTGTCCTAAAGAACTTACATATTACAAAGCCTTAATACTTAAAGTGTGTAGTACTCATGAAAATGGTACAGAAGGCTCAGAAATAGGCACATACATTTAGCATACAATAAAGGTAGCAAATAAGTTAAAAAAAAAGTGAACTCTTCAAATGCATGGTGAGAACTGGATAACCATCTGGAAAGATGGTAAATTAGATTTCTACCTTACTCTATAAACTAGGATATATTCCAAATAAACCAGTTTTAAATGTTATAAATGAAACCATAAAAGTACCAGAGGAAAACATGAGGTGAGTCCTTTATAACCTCAGAATAGAAAGGCCTTCCTCCTGGCCGGGCACAGTTGCTCACGCCTGTAATCCCAGAACTTTGGGAGGCCAAGGTGGGTGGATCACAAGGTCAGGAGTTTGAGACCAGCCTGACCAACAGGGTGAAATCCCGTCTCAACTAAAAATACAAAAATTAGCCGGGCATGGTGGTGCATGCCTGTAATCCCAGCTACTCAGGAGGCTGAGGCAGGAGAATTGCTTGAACCCGGGAAGCGGAGGTTGCAGTGAGCAGAGATCGCACCACTGCACTCCAGCCTGGGTGACAGAGCGAGACTCCATCTCAAAAAAGAAACGCCCCCCTCTATGAGACAATATCCAGAGGTCATTAATGAAAAGATTGATAAACTTGACCCACATAGAATAAAAACTCCTGTGAGGTAAAACAAACAAAAGCACTTTAAGCAAAGTCAAAGACAAAAAAATGGAAATACAGTTACGATTTCTATTTCTGAAAACTGGCAGCCAAGATGAAGCTCCTGAACGATAAAAAAACGTGGAAATAGCAGATCTGAGCTGTATTCTCTCCTGCTCCAGTCTCACTCTGAACTTAATCAGACTCTGCTAAGCATTCACAACTCACTTATCCTGATCCTATCCTATAGCAGTTGTTTTAAAGTCTCCTCAGGTCCCTTACTTCCAGAATCCCCAGAAGACCACAAAACGCCAAGTTTAGCACAACTCTTCTGTAGAGGGAAGAGTCTGTCATTGACACCTCAGTGGCATATTCCTGGATGGCACTAGAGAATATCTTATTCTCCCTCTGCTTCCAGAGCTGGCATTTCTTGCCTACTTCCTGACTGTATCCAAGAGCTGGGGCCAGAAAAAAAATAAACACATGAGTTTATGAAAGAATCGCTGTAGAAATGAATAAATCAGCAGAACAAGCTAATCCCAGGGAGGTAAGGAGAGTAAGAAATAATTACAACAAATACCTGGATAGCACTTCCTATGTAGCAGGTACTGTTCATGTAATCCTCATAACAACTCTAGACAGGTGCTTTTACTATCCCCATTGACAGATGGCATATAGGTATAGAAAGATAAAATGACTTGGACAAAATCACAGTTAGTCTGGCTTCTGACTTACGTGCTTAAAAAGTAGGGGAAAAAAGGGAAGAACCCCTAAGGGACCAAAAGTTTTAAGATAACTTGATAGTATCTCTCCCCACCTGCTGTCTGGATTCACTCAATTCCTTGAAATCATCCAGCTTAGCCACTTCCCCAAGGAAAATCCTCCCTCCCTCCCCTGGTCAGTGCTGCTCCCTCTCCCAGACCTGGTGTTCCTCAGATAGGATGATCAGGAACTGGCCTCAGCCACTGTCAACTGGACTGCTGGAGCCAGCTTACAGAATGCTGGCCTGTGGAGTTTTCTCATTAACAGAATCCTTGGAACCAGCGAAACCAACTCCTCTAAAGATGCAGTCAAGCGTCTTTTCCTGTAATTGAAGAGTCTTCAAGAACACTTCTGTAAAAGAAAAATTATTTTACTCAAAGAAAAAGCAAAGATTGCCATAGGTGTTACACTACTAACGGTTTTGGGGGGAAAGAAGTGCAATGCTAAATAAGGAGCTAATTTGCAAAGGGCTCTCAGATCACATGCTGGGGCAGCAGGTCTGCAGTGGTAATCTTTCCCATTGCCTTTGAGCACTGGTTGGGATAGTGGAAGGGCTCATGAGAACAGCATTAAGGGTGCTGTAAGGTGGTCCTGGCGTGGATGGAGGTGACTGTTAAAGGGAAGGGTAGCCATTTACTGCCAAGCTGAAGTACAGAGAGAACGAATTCTGCATTCAAAATGAAATGTCACGGGGACAATTAAGTGGTGGAACAAGCCTCTCCTGAATTTAGAGCACCGAACACTTATTTCCAATTCTTTGCAATTTCCCCCTTTTGTTTGAAAAAGCTGAAGATCTGGTGGGCAGTGATACCAACTGGTACCAGAAGCACACTTGTAGTTGGTACTCAATGAAGTTCTGACGACGGCAGTAAAGACCAGGGTTGTAACTGAAAGGGAAGTAGTCCAAACTCTGGGCCCCTGCAGCACTAAATCTCGAGGAAAAACCCTTTCCCGGAAGACTGCATTTGGATACAATCCCCACTGTCCCAGGAGGGGTTGCCTCTCCTGGGGTTCCTGCTCACATTCCACCCAGGCAGCCGCGGAGAGAGGAGGTCTGAGGGGTTGCAGCTGTGCAACACCCACCCAAGCGGCACCCAGATGCATACCAGCCTTTCTCTGCCTGTGCGCAGCAGCCAGCTCCGAGGAATCGCCGCAGGGAGGAAGTCCCTCTCAGCACTTCCGGGGCGTGCCCCGGAAATCTCTGGGCGGGGCCTGGCTGCGCCTGAGTTTGCCAGACAGGGGTTGAAACCTCAACCTGTCCAGGCTGTGGTACGGGCCGGGTCTAGACCGGGAGCGATTTGCTCTGGACCGTCAGCAATGCTATGACTTCCTACCTCACTTCTCCCGAAGGTTGTTTTTGCTTCCTGAGTTTTATCCAGGGCAGGACCACCCGTGTATGTTGGAATTTAAAGATAGTACAGCTGGTGAAATATCTCGTGTGGGCCCTACAGGATCCCTTAAACCGACAAACGGGGCCACAGAAATCTGGTCTTATTAGTGATCTGAAAGCCAACACACTATATCCTGTGTGCTTTCTCAAAGATTAGAGACAAGAACCAAGAGCAATCTTTTCAAAACATGACTGCGATACTGCAAAATTTCTCCGGCTATTCAATTATTTATGAAAGAATTTAACTCAAAACACTGTAGTCAGTAAATATACTGGCTTGAACATAAAGCTGATAAAAGGAGTAATTCGTAAAACAAAACATTAGAGGTGGAGGCACAAAGTTTGAATCCATCTTATGGCAGAGCATGAATTAAGAATATACAAGGGTCACATGTGAGAGCATAACTAGGGGAGAATGGGCAAAGCCCCAGGAAACCTAACCAAGTGGCCTCTTTGAGCCTCCATTTACAGAATAATGGATTGGAACACTAAACTTAGCATTCTAGACTATGAATATTTAAATATGACAGAACAAGCAGTTATTTCTTTGGTGTATTACACATTTAAACTGATTTTCTAACTTGGGTTGAACTTTTGAGACCTCTGTCGCCCAGTGGCA